TCGAGAGCTGCAGATCTGAGCATGCGCGACCACACCCAAATTTTGGAGCACATGGCAAGCTTCTTTAATTAACAAAATGGCGGCATGCAGCTAAGATGGCTCGATCCAGCAGTCACAGTATCACTTTTTCCTCACTTGAAGAATGATCTAATGGGACATGGACCTGCGCATAGACTGTTGGAGTAGATTGGTGTAAGAATTATCCTTGTAGCACCAACCAATACTGAGATACACACCGACAACTGGATTGACAGGACTTCTGACTTGATGATGATGATGATGAAGATGAAAAAAGGTGGCTGAACAAAATGGCCGGTTCGCCGATTTTTGGATTTTCTCTTAGACAAGGTCTAGAGCCACGCTAGTGGTACCAATGGAGTCCTCTGGTCAAGATGAGGTCCTCTAAGAAGTCTGGTAAGCATAGGAGCTCGTTTTCCTGGTATAGCAAGGCTGCAAAAGTCGTGGCAGCCATTTTGTTTGGGGGTGAATCCTACTTAGTAACGCTACCGCGTTACTAATAGTACAGGGACTTTGGCCCTATTTTTGAGCAACTTTGAAAATCTTTAAAAAATCCAAATTTAATCAGAATCTGCTCAAACTTTTCAAACAACATTAAAACATGAATATGTATTAGAAAAAATTATAAAAATGAAGAACTCTCACAATTTTATTTTTGGCAAAGTTCGGCTAAAGACCCTGTACTAAAGTGCAGGGACTTTGGCCTGATTCTTAGGTAAATTTATTCAAACTAGTTATATGCATCAGGAAATGTAATGAAGTCTGTTTCATGAAACTGAACATACTATTACAAATTACTATTATCCCATGTACGTCTGATCAATTTGCATGCTTATAGCATATACACAAAATCAAATCACAAACGTAACCAGCAAGCATAATAAAGTATTAGCATGTACCTCTTCATCTCTTTCATAATCTTCAATAACTTCGCCTTTGAAAATAAAGAACAATAAATAATAATATGTACTGATGTACTAACTTTTATGTATATCTGTTTCTTTAGCATCCCATTGATCATTAATACCAGAAACATCAGTAGATACTACTCTTCCCTTTATAATAATAATAATGACAATAATAATAATGATGATGATGATAAGGGTGCTCTTGTAGCTCTTACCTCCATTAGGTTCAATACAGAATGACATTGTTTGAGATACTGTGTCTGATGAGTAACCAGTAATACACACTTATCCACTAACAGCCCACGAATACACCTTTAATAAAACAAAGAAAAACTTATATAAAGTAGGGTGTAGTTCCCCCCTCCATTATCCACATCCTTGTAAAGTGCCTTTATGTATCATACTTTTCAAATATATGTCTACTGACAGCAGAGTCCACAGCACTCAATGGATCATCAAGGAGGTATATGTCAGCCTTTCTATAGACAGCTCTTGCTAAATTGACTCGTGCCTTTTGACCACCACTGAGTGTCACTCCTCTCTCTCCCACTAGTGTCATATCACCATTCTCCAATAATGATATATCCTATAACAAATAAAATAATATTCAAAATTAATATAAAATGAGTGCTACTTTTTCAAGTGCACAAGCATCTATCACAGTCCTATACCATTCCTCTTCATATGGTAATCCGAACAGTATATTCTCCCTAAGACTGGTTGAGAATATACATGCCTCTTGACTAGCATATGCTACTGATCCTCTCACTGATACTCTACCACTTAATGCTGGTAGCTCCTTCAATACACACTGGAATAATGTGGACTGTAATGGGGATGAATGATACAATAAATGATAATAATAAATCTGGTTTTACTTTTCCTGCTCCAACTGGTCCAACAATTGCAAGCAATGAGTGTGTCTATAGTAAAATAAAATTATTATTATTATATTAAGTCATTTTTGCAATTCACAAATTTTACCTTGTCAACATTGAAAGACACATCAGACAGTGTCGGTTTGTCATTATCCATTGACCATGAAGCAGTCAAGTGTTCCACAGTAACTCCTACATCATCATCATCACTAATCCCAACAGTCATGGGATCATATCTTTTACACAACTCATCAGTGTCTTTGAACAGTTCCTCCAATGATAGAAAATCCTATATGAATCATTCAAATTTAATCCGCTCAAAAATTTGTAAATCTTACTTTAATTCTTTTGTATCCAACGTGCGATTCTAAAATGAAACAGAGTCCTTCCACAAAGTGCACTATGGTGTATCTGAGGAATACAATATGAGACAATGTACTGAACACTACTGCAGGAGTGAGTGTCCCACCAAACCAGGCAAATAAGGAGAACACTACACACGAGATGACAGTACCAATCCTCATTGCTAATACTGAGTTCATTCGACTGATGACAGCACCCAATAGTACAAGCCACATCTCCCGCCTGTGAACAATAAAAATAATAAAACATTTAAAATGAAATAAGTACAAAAAGATCCCACAATGCCCATATACATACACACATAATACAATATATACAAGTCTGAGATAGCACACACAGTGCTTCAGTATGTACTATTGTATGTGTATCATACCTTCTTATTCTTGCTATTAGTCTACTGAAAGCATATTCCCAGCCGTACATTTTAATGACTCTAATTCCACTGATGACTTCATTCATCACTTTAACTCTATTATCAGTTACTCTAGCTGCTTTAAACCTATAAATATATTTAAAAAATAAAATACACTACTAAAATTACCTTAGCCTTGAGTAAAAGTAATTAGAA